ACCCACAAACAAGCAGCAACTGAAGGTGGCTGCAGTGAAGGCCTGGCAAAGCATCTCCAGGGAGGAAACTCAGAATTTGAGTTTTGAGAACATGGGCTCCAGACTTCAGGCAGTCATTGACTGCAAAGGATTTTCATCCAAGTATTAAAATTATGGTTATATTTACAATTATGTCACTTTGTCCAAATACCTTTGAGCCTCTGAAAATGGAGGTACTTTGCTTAAAATGGCTGTAATTCCTAAATGGTAAATGCCATATTTTTATGGAACTTATTAAAATAATGCTGAAAGTCTTGATCTCACATCTTGATTGTTTTATTTCAAATCCATTGTGGTGGTGTATAAAATCACAAAAACTGTCACTGTCCAAATACTTCCGGACCTAACTGTATATACACACGGGGACACACACATATGTACACAACTTACTGACTGCTGACTTCTCTCCAGCTGAAATCTGCTGGCCAGTGCGAGAAGTCGAAATCATAACTGGCAAGTTTTTTCTAAACAGGATGGAGTACAAACAGCATCAGCAGAGGCATGATTACATCAGTGCTGATTGCATCAGTGTACTGGTCTCAGTAGGAATGTTGCTAGGACATGGTCATGACCTCACCTTGTTGCTGCTTGTGTGGTTCTTCTTGGTCTCCTCCAGAATGGTGATAAACTGGTGATACTCAGGGTTTCTCCAGCGACCCCAGCCTAGCAACAACCCAACAAAAACACAAACGCATGCTGCTAGTTACAGCTCTGGCTTCTTCTGGTGGCAGAGGATAGCACCATCAATTTATTATTATTACTTTTAAATGGGATAAGCGTTTCACAATAAGTCATTTCTGATGAGGTATCACCTTTGTGAAAGATGTGCTGTGTTTTGCTTGTTACACTGCATTAGAGTAAAACGATTGATCTGAAGGGAGTTCAAATATATTTCGGGTGACGAACAGCTCACCTCTCAGACACGCTACTGTCAGTAAACAGACCAGCACTGTGCCAACGTACTGGCTGACGGGAATGATCTTACTGCTGCAGATATAACCTGAAACAGAAACAAACGTTTGAAAACACATATGTCAACAATACAATAAATCACAAATCTAATGCAGAAATATCAGAATATCTTTTTCCTTATCCTTACTATGTAGTAACTGGTCAAATCATAGTAACCAGAATTTGATCATCTCAAGCCATAATAAAGCTAAATGACTGTTCAATTTACAATTATACAGACATTGGTACAAAGCAGCTTTACTGAAATCCAGATCTAGATCCTGATCCCTAATGAGCAAACCAGAGGCAACACTGTCAAGGAAAAATTCCCTGAGAAAATATGAGAAAGAAACCTTGAGAGGAACCAGACTCAAGACGGAACTCATCCTCTTCTGGGTGACACTGTACAGTGTGATTATAAATCATTAAAGTATGCAGGTGTAGAGGAGTAAGGCAAAAATTCTAAGGGTGTTGAAATGAAGTTTAGTATGACTATATTGCGAATAAGAGTCCTCCAATGAGAACAGGACAGTCTTTATGATTACAGCAGCAGTTCTTAGAAGGTACAAGTCTAAAGTATCTAGGTGGGATTATCCACCGAAGCAAGGATGAGACTTGAGCATGTTAATGGGAAGTGCAAATATTTCATAATCTGATACTATCTATATCTAGCTGGGATTATCCACTGAAGCAAGGATGAGACTTGAGCATGTTAATGGGAAGTGCAAATATTTCATAATCTGATACTATCTATATCTAGCTGGGATTATCCACTGAAGCAAGGATGAGACTTGAGCATGTTAATGGGAAGTGCAAATATTTCATAATCTGATACTAGTAAAAAGTATTGCAATGTGTAGGGTCTCACACACAACTTATTTTGAAGACTGTACATTTTTCAAAACTGCCTGACATGTTGATTCCACAGGAAAATGTCATTGAGCAGAGGGGAAAAATAAACAGTTGGAAATGCCCCCAACTCTATACACCAAACTAAATTCCCCTGGTAAACCAGTGTAATAACGGGGCCTGAATTTGCATATGGGAGTCTGACTGGCTTTTACATTTAATGAAACAATAAAACTTGTCTGTCAAAAGCTAAATACAAACTCAGATCTACCTTTGATATTTTGAACACCGAAAATTGCACTGACAATTTTTACACTTCAACCAAACAAATCCCCCAGCAAAGTAATGATTAAGTAATGAGTAATTAATCATTCATAACTATTAACTAATCCAAATAACTTCCAAGTGGTTATAGACTTAATATGATTGCTCTGTGGTGGTAAATTAACTAATGAAACACTGTATTAAACACAAAATTACCATTAATTCACAGTAACTGTACACAAAGGTCCAGCTCTATTACATGTCCACAATACAACAACATTCTTTTAAAACCACTTAAACACAGGAGAATTTAATTTCATAGAGAAACTCTTTCGTGTATACACCCACTTGATATGAGACACAAACAGCTTCAAGGAGGCCACTGCACACACAAAACCTGCACTGAGGAATTTCCCCAAACAGAAGTACTACACATGTACAGCATTAGCATATGACTCAACTAGAATGATTAGACTTGATTAGGCCACCATTATAATCAGCACTCACAGTCGGAGGCAAATGAAATCTATCGACTGATCGCACAGTGAAGAAGCAATCAGGAGTCCACAGCCCTTGATTATCTGACACAGGAGGTGGAACGGAACAAAAACGTGGAATGGTTGGGGTTCTCCAAGAACTGGATTTGGAACCTGAGCGTTAAGTGTACGAGCAAGCGGTTGTATACCTTTCCTGTAGAGATAGCAGAGAATGAGAGGTGAGCTGTAATAGGATAGGGACCACAGCACTGACGCCTGGAGAGAAGAAAAACACATTTTAATTACCTTCACGACGCACAAGTCTCTTGGGGCAAGTACATCAAGTTCCAGTCATGTGGGTTTTATTGTCATTCCTCTGTATAACTCATAATGGAACAAAATGTCATTTAATCAGGAACATTCAGCACCACATAATACAACAGCACCACGTAGTATGTATGTAGTACAAAGACTACATAGAGTGCAAGTACATAAGAAAAAATATTTCATTCCATTTTGGCACATGCCCTTATCCAGAGTGACTTACATTAATCTCATTTCTCATTCATCTCATACAACAGAGCAGTTAGGGTTAAGGGCCTTGCTCAAGGGCTCAGCAGTGCTGGGATTTGAACTCATGACCTTCTGATCAGAAGGCCAACATCTTAACCACTAAGCTACTATGCTTTTCAACAGCATAAATAAGCATCAACGTTCCACTCCACAGAAACCTTTAGTAAAAGGTGAAAAATGTATGCGTTAATGAAGAGAGACCTGAGCTATACATAAAAATATATAAGAAATACAATGAACACAAATGATGATAAATATTCCAAACAGTGCCTACTAAGCAGACAGAAAAGAAAACAGTATTGGATAAAACTTGACAGTGATATATTCTTGTAACTTGTAACAGCAATCATTCTCCATCTTTTCCAGCTGTGACATGGCAAGCACATCTTCACGTTTTCTCCTGATCTAAAAGACACGACACTACTCGAGTTGAATCTGGTTTGTTTGAGGAAATGGTACACTTTCCATGACATGTCACTTACCCAACCAAGGATACTGTCAGTGTGTCTTTCCAAACCTCTTTGCTGGTAATCCCAACCCTGCAAGTGACAGCCACATACAAGTCAAACTGTTATTTTTTTAATGCTATCATTTGGGGACAGACTTAAAGTGGCTCTAAAGTGCAAAACACTTTAACAAACCAAAAATAAAACAGCAAATAAAATAACACAACAGCAAAACTAAAAGCACAACAGCAGCAAAACCAAAAGCACAACGGCAAAATAAAAACAAAACAAAACAAAAACAGCAAAACCAAAAACACAACAACAAAATAAAAAAAAAAAACAGCAAAACACAACAACAAAATCTGCTGCGTTATTTTATTTGCAGTTTTGGTTTGTTAGTGTTTTGAACTTCAGGGCCACCGCACAGACTCCCTCAGTGTCTGATCTTCATGTACACAAATATTGTTTTGTATAACACCTCAACCTTAAAGTATAGACCCTGGAGCTCACGTCCTGATGTGTCCCTGTGCAGCGGTTCTCAAACCGGGGTCCGTGAAGCAAAATTATGGTTATTGAGCTGGAAATCACAACTCACCATTATCAAAGATATTTATTATTGTTGTTTGAATTGAAAGGATGAATTGAACTTGAACCTAATATGTTCTGTGTGGAAAGTTCAGGAATAAAAGTCTCTGTGGATATAATAAATAAACAGACTATTTAGAAATATTGATAAAAGGATGTACTTTACAGTTAAAGGGGCTCTTGGCTGTTATGGAATTCATTACAGGTAATTATAGTACACTACATATTTGTGTAGAAGGAATTCTTCCACATCCAGTGCAGTGAACTTGTAGCAAACTCGTTTCATTTTCTGCACAGGAACCGAAGTAATTCTTACACAATTCAACTCCCTGTGTTTATTTTCTACTCCTAATCCTAATAAATACTCGCAATGTCAACGGTATGTTGTTTTGCTTTGAAATTATGCTTAGAGGTCACTATGGCATACCTTCCAACCTTTACAACTGGCATTAGCATGCTAACTAGCTATACTAGCTATACCACACGTTCCCAGGGTCTGAAATCGCATACTAGCGCACTGAGTAGTATGCGAGAACAGCATGAACGGTCACCTAGGATACTAGCATACTACTAAGTACAGTAGTATTTTGAAGAAGTAGTGCGGTAGTGAGAGTGTGCTTTCGGACGGAGCCGAGCCCTGCCGAAGATGAGCCGAAGAGACCGCATTAAAAATGAAAGTCTGTTTACTGTTGAAGGAGTTTTGCGAAAGAGTCGAGTGCGTACCCTCCTTCCTGCTCTGCTCTCGGGTCGGGGGTAGTCCTGTGGGCGATGGATCCGGTACAGACTGGGCCCGAACAAGCAGCGAAACCATAACCAAACAGCCATCATTCCTCAGTCGGCAGCTACGGAAGCCCATATGGGTCATCGCGATTCAAAATATCACCAACGCATTATCCATTGTACAGTGCAGCGACTCTTCATGAACGAATCGATTCATGACCGAGAACAAATCTTATTTTGCTTATATCACAACGCTGTTGAATTCTTGAATGTGATTGGTCAGCAGTTATTAATTAATTAATAATTAATTAATTATTAATCAGCTGTGAAGTAATTTCACCTGTAAGGTTTATAGTAATGCTTTACCATTTCTACAGGAAAAGCTCTTTCACAGGGACGCGTATAATATATTATAACGGCAATAATAAATAGACTCAGAAATGTGTTGTCATTTAACGGAGTAAAACATGTAGCTACGTTTACATGCACGTCAATATTCCAATATTAATCAGAATTTGGCGATGTAAACGGCGCAATCCGATTGCCTGATTCAGATTAAGATGACATTCTGATTCCCCAAATTCCGGTTCCCATCCCTGGAATCTGCCGGTTTTAATCGGACATTTGTTGCATGCAAACACCTTATTCAGAAATCCACTGAAAGGAGATACATGCGCATGCTCAGTCCTCAAGGAATTGTGGGTGCTAACAGATGCTTAGCTGTAGGCGAGGTATTTAGGAATGGCGGCTCAGGCATACTTACAACAGCCATGTATACAGGAGTATTCCGATGCCTGTACGCATATAAACATTGTATTCGGAATATGGCTGCAACCCGAATATAAACCGAATTTGATGTGCATGTAAACATAGCCACTGATACCCTGACTTTTTTTGTAAAGAGATGTTTATGTACTGTAACATTTTTGGAAGGAGTCCAATGCAACAATAAAGGAATTTATAGCTGCATTTGAATGGCGTATTGTTTGTTAATATAATGTACTGGAATGTACTGTTATATGAAAATAACTTTTGGGTGGCAACAACCTCACACCACCCTGTTGTTTATTAATTTCCTACAATAGCATGTCTCAATTTTTACAGTGTTTTATTCTTTACTTGTTGTTTCTTTTTATGTTTTCAGGTTGGCCGTGCATCCGTGCATCTATCCCTCCATCCGGCATTCTCAATAGCATGATATCTCTAGAGCGAGTAGTTGAATGTTTGTAGGATTTATATGGAATTATCATAATAATCAGCAGATGAACTGCTTAGATTTTGGAACTGATTCAAACAAGTTCAAGGTCATAGCAAGGTCAAATGTCTGATTTTTTTTTCCTGTTTGAAGTAAGGGTATTTGAGGCAAGGCATACAAATTAATAATAAGTACTAGACCTGATGGAGGAGGCATCCCTGTTGACACCATTGCTTCCGAGTTCTTCTTGTTTTCATTATACTGTCACGTTTGACTTGAAGGGCAATCAATGTCAAAAATGCTGTTATATGTTATACACTTTTTAGCGGGTGGGTATTTCTATAGGCTGCTATCATACAAATGGAATTTATTTCTTAGCCATAAAAGGAGCTGCTATATAAAAAAAATTATAGAGACAAAATTACAGTATGAAACCAGAAAATATGGCTATTTTTTAGGATTTAATTATAGCATGTGAAGTATTTTGGATTAATCAAACAAACAAAAACTCAATTTACTTGTATTTTAAAAGAATCAAATCACTAATGTGACTACTAATACAAAGCAGGGAATACATAACAGGGTGCTACAGGGAATGTCATGGAATAACTGAGAGGATTCAAAAGGTGGATATGAGGATATGACAATGAGGTGAAAGAGGTTGGAGGCATAAAAGTCATTAGAGAATATTTATAACATATCAGAAAGTGAAATACAATCTATTGAACTTACATATTTTATTAATATTAAATATCATAACATACACCATTTTACCATGTTTGTTACTTGTGACAATGAAGGGATATCTGTAAAGTCCATCACACCAAATGTCTTGTTGATATGAATGAAATTTCATTGCATTCTTCATTGTGTCTTAAGGGTATACAAAGTTTTGCATATACTGTAAATTTGCATAAACAATCCTCACAGTGGGTGATTCCGGGCAGGTAAATAGTCTAGTTATGTCCATTCATTCATCTTCAGTTACCCTGTTATCCTGATCATGGTCACAGAGCACCATGCACACACACATTCACACAGCCATTTACACCTAGGGAGGAATTTAGCATAGCCAGTCCGCCTAACTTCCTGTTCTTGGGCAGTGGGTGGAAACTGGAGAACCTGAAGGACAAACCATGAGGACACGGGGAGAACATGTGAAACTCCACACAGACAGTAACCTGAGCTCAGGATCAAACTCAAGACCATGGTGCTGTGGCATGGCAATGCTACCACCACCGCAGTGCTCTCCTGTATGTATGTTTATCTTGAAAATCACTTTAATATCTTGGGGTTTGGGTTAAAAATGTATTCAAATTATTTTTTGGTCCAGATAGTATTTTTTGCTTCTCTTGTTTGGTTAGTCGGAGCAAACACACCTGTTATAATTAATCACCTAGATTATACAGTGATAGTAGCCTGACTACAAAAAGGGGGAAATGTACACTTGTAGTCTCATTATAATTACTTGGGAAAGACAGAAGGCTGGTTACAAATTCAAAACCCATAATGATGATTTATTATGCTTTATCAGTGTTTGCAGTTATCACCATTAGCAACATACATGTACATGTCTTCATTGATAAATGGTTACATGACAGCACAAAAATAAATTTTCATTGGCACCTTGTATTCATCCAACTGTGCAAACTTAATCACAACACTGGTCATATCTGAAAAGAAACAGAACACATACACACACACACACACACACACACACACACACACACACACACACACACACACACACACACACACACCGTGAGAGAAGCAGATATGATAGACAGTCATTAACATTAATGTTAATGTATACTGATTGATAGACTGAAAGGTGCAGGAATAGGGACAGAGACAGCACTAGGTCATGTTCCTTGTGTGACTTGCAGTCAATCTTCTCTCACCTGTCTAATTCCCTATAAACATCCGTCTCGCCTGTGAGCTTCAGATCCTGCGGAGGTGGAGGAGAGGAAAAGGAAGGGGAGGGGATGGTTATAAACGAAGCATGAGAGAGAGGAGCAGATTCAGATTTATGGTTTGACAGAGGTTTGACCTAGTTCATCTGCTAATATTGCTAATATACAACCGGCAGTAAACAGAAGGCAGGCACTAACCCTCTGACACACACACACTCACACAAACATAAACCTATTTAACAGATTGTAAATCGT